GGATTTGTGTGCCAGGAGTACAAAAGGATAACTCAGAACAGAAAGAAGAAAACATGAGAATATAATGTTGTATATAATATAACGTTAACTTCTTTCCATCGTCTTCCTCTGTTACAGGATTGTTTGAAGGGTTTTAATGGTTTTAATGGTTCTAATGGTCTTCTTGAGATCAGAATCTTTTACATTATATTTCATCGTCATGCTTCATATAAAACACTGGTCACACCATCATACGAACTCTTGTCCAAACAGGAGCAGTTGCTGCTCCCAGTTTACTTCTCCTTAAGGTCCACTTCAACTCACTGGCTCAACTAGAGCCAACTTATTTTGATGCGTTGAGCTTTTATTGCGTTTTAAATCTTTGTTTGCTGGTTTCCTTACCCTTTGTTAGTGTCAGCCTCGAGTTTTCAGATATAAATTTTATTTATTTTTGCTCTTTGTTTATTTCAGTGTTTGCTGTTCAGCACTTTGCTGAAGCTTTTGTTGTCCGTAAAGATCGTGTAATAACTAAAATTGCATTGACCCATATTTACAACAGTACTGATCGATGCCAACTGCTGTTTATTATTGAAAAGCAACTGTTACGAAACATTAAATTAGCATGTAGAGTATTAAGATAATAAACATTATGCATACTTTAGTTGAACGTGATGAAAGAAGGTAGAGCTTGTTTGTTTCCAGCAGCTTGAATTCTGTCAGAGCTGGAGTTTGACCTTCGGTCCAGCGAGTCTTGGACTCCGGTTCAGTTTTTGGGTTTTACTTGGATCTAAACTGGTTCTGTTCGGTCTTTAACCGAGCTGAGCCCAATTTATTCACCTCAGCGTGTCATTGATTACACTAATGCTACAAGAAGAAGGGTTTTGTCTCCATTTCACTGTGTGTGCATGTGTGTGCATGTGTGTGCATGTGTGTGCATGTGTGTGTGTACACGTGTGTGTGTGTTATCTGGTTTGACCTTTCTCCATATGGTCTGAGACTGAGGAGGGTACCAGAAGTTGAACTCTACACATGCTATCAGTCTGAGCTGTTAGCCAGGCCAGAAGCCACACA